ATATGTTGAATTGGACAACCTACCAGGCACGGTCCTTAAGCCACATTGCTTGTTGTTTAATTAATCAGAAGGGGGGAGATGCTGGGAGCCATTAGCCAAGTAGGTATGACAATTTCCTTGCCAGCGTACCCCATGTTGCTTAGTGGAAGGACTCGTGGAAATAGGACATTTTGCAGTGACATTGCATGTAAGGTGACCTTGCTCAAGGACCAGGGCGGATCCGGGTTTAGGGCGTTCCCGGTTTAGGACAATCTAGGTTTAGGGTGTTCCCGGTTTAGGACAATCCGGGTTTAGGGCGTTCCCGGTTTAGGACAATCCGGGTTTAGGGTGGTTCCAGGTTTAAGGTTATTCCTGCTGGGAATAGGGTGTATCCTGCTGCCTGAGTTCCCCTTGAGTTCTCACGGGATTCAGACAGTTTTTTTGGGAGACAGAAGCCCAGTGGGGGTGGATTTGGGCAGAGAACGTGGATTTCCCCAGAACGTGATTGTAGAGTGCTGGTGTGAGTTCGGGAATAAAGAGTTGCTGTTTGAATCTACAAGCTGTGTGGTGGCTCGTGATTTTGTGCCCAGCCAGACTGCGGCATTTGGTGGCCCGCACTCCAGGCCCTGCACCTGGCCTGACTTAGGACTGTGTGCTTTGGGCTGCTCTGGGTCCTAACCCTGTCCTGGGAGGAGAGGCTCAAGGTGAGGCCAAGCCCTAGGAGCTAGCTCTACTGACTGCAGGTGGCCCCAGCTGTCCTCAGAGGAGGTGGACCTTGTTAGTAAAGGCCTGCTTTTGCCCATGCAGCAAGATTGCTTGGGCTTCAGTGGGACTGCTCAGGAGCTGAGCAGTAGCCAGGCCACTCCTGGGACTCCCTTCCCACCAACCCCGTTCCTCATTCCATGACTGAGTGGTCACTGGGAGTGGTGGGCGGGTGCAGGGCCACCCTTGGCAAAGCTGGGTTGCTGATGCTCTGGGGACAATGGGGGCATATCTTCTCCACTGGCCAGTGAACAGGAGCAGCCCCAGACTTAGACCCTCCAGGCCGGCAACTGACTGGAAAAGCAGAGTTGGAGGGCCTTCAGTGAGATGGCCAATCCCAGCCAAGACCACCAGGAGTTGACTTCCCTCTCCTGCCCCCATGAAGATGCAGAAGGCAGGAGAAAGGCACTTTGAAAATTAAGTAACAATCCCAAAATGTCAAATTCCATTGACTAGGAGATCAAGGAAGAGGAGAGAAATAAGACAAGAAATGTCAGGAATTGAAGAATGGGTTCTCTAGCAGGAGAGGACATGCTGAGTGCCCAGAACAATGAAGGAGCTAAGAAATGTCAAATCAGGGAGTCCCCAGTGCTTTCAGCCTAGGCCAGGGCTGCAGAGTAGCCTCAGGCTTTGGTGACTGCCAGCCTTCAGGACAGAAGGCCCTGAACATCCCCAGGAGCAAGCACAGATGTGGGTCCCGGGGATGCTGGGCCTGAACCCAAGGAAGCACCATGGTGGGGGACTTGGGGAAGGAGATACAGGTGGCCCCAGGGGGATATAGGTGGCAGGAAAGGGATGC